TGCTGGTCTGCTGGTGTTGACACTACCACACCACCAGGGCTCGGAAGTTTGCCAAGCGACAGTGGCGATTTGGCAGCAAATGAAATGCATCTGTGGGGAAGGGCGCATTTAGAAGGTTCGAAGAAGGGTTAGAAAGGTGGGTTAGATTGACCCTGATGCCTCTTTGAGGCCGGTTCCGAGGTACATTCGATTGATCGAAACGCCACTAGTACTTTCTGGGCTGAACAGGACCATGGAGCGAGTTTGGTTTGGTTGCAAGGGTGCTTAGGGTGCTTCACTGATTGAACCCTCAGGCTTTCAAAGTACCCGAAGCATAAAGGCCGCAAGGGCCGCAAGGAGGTACTCTCCCCCATCCTCTGGCAGTAGTTGTACAAATCAATACTTTTGGTCCTTCGACTTGACAAAATTCGCAAGTAATAGAAACCTGTCGGACTTGCGGACCAGACGGAGCTTACTTTGCATGGTACATTCTTTGCTCAGCAGTGAGTAAAAGGAAAGACGAAGCTGACGAATTCCATCGCGCAGAGTAGAGATGCTGACATCACGACGATGAGCGAACGCTGATATCTCCCGGCTGGGAGTTCGTGAGAGGCAAGGAAGGAGCGTGTTGGGTATCCTTGTATAGACTATAGACGGGGCGGGTCTCGTTCTCCCCTTCCGACGGGTTTGGTGTTTCTCTTGAGTTCCGGAACGGGCTTTTCCTTGACACACCAAGCTATCGTTTTGAAAACGAAAAGAAAGGCCTGATAAGAAAGAAAAAGAAAAAGAAAAACCGGACAAGCCCTGTTCGGTCCGGCAAGACGGACCAACATTTCCCTCAGGTTTCTAGAAGGAATACCACCGAGACCCTCGTACATTGGTTACGGTTTACTCGCTTTACCGGAGAAGAAAAAGCATGGAAGACCTGTTCAACAGTGTGATCTGGTTGGGAGAATAAAGAGGTGGTTCACATCGGCAAAAGCGCAACGAGGGCCCGCCTGCGGTTGGGGACATTGCAGATGCTGGTGAACACAGACACGGGACCCTGTGGCGGGCGTCTCGTCGCGCGTCCGCAACAGGGAGTTACAAAATTTCTCCACCCGTAATCGAGCGACCCGAATTCCATCAATCCTCGCCAATTATCCTTGGCTGGCTCCTTTGAATGCCTGGGAAACACTCCATGGCCGGTGCCTGTCTGGTGACATCCACAAGTACAAGTCGTCACGGAATCACAGCCCCAAAGACGCGCATTACTGCCACGAGGTTCTCCTTTTCACCCAGTATGTTTGAACTGCCCTTGTCTGGTATAATACCACATATTATTACTCCGTATGATAATCGCTCACAAAGTGGTGAAGGTGACTCCAGGCAGGGAGTCCCGAGGGGCCCTATCATTGGCTTCTTATCTGGCCCCCTAAAACTTTTGGCTGGCCACCTTGACTCCTCCCTTGTCGATCGAGGGTTCCTCGACTTCCCGTCGGGTAAAACTGCACTGTCTTCCCAAGCAGGTACCCTCGTATCGCTTGTACCAATACATTGGCGGATGGGGAGTGGAATATTATTGCATCGAGCCATTCAACCCTTGCCTTCCGCGCGTGGAAATGGCAAATGAGTTGCACCCTCCACAAAGCCTCCGTACTCCAGACTTTTGTGCAGTGCGGGAGACAGATTGCAGGCTTCGACGAGTTTTCGAGAAGGGCACAGGAATCAACCAAGACCCACCAGCGGGCCTCCACATGCTGACCAGGTGCTGATAGTCCAACCGAAGGTGTTCGAATCCTTCGCTTGCTTGGAGCATGTCTGAAGAAGTAATATTGGCGAGCGCAGCTTGGTGGGATTGGCAATCCCTCGAATGGGAGGGAACAGTGAGTTTTTGGATGACGACCTATTATGACAAGTAGGGCTTCGCTCATACTCGCGACGTCAATATCGGCAACGGGGATGGGTGTGATAAGTCAATTCATCCATCGTGTTCGCGTGCTCGCCTCATTGAATGGCTGGAGTAAGAATGGTTGCTTGAGCTCAGCTTCTCGCAGCTTCGTATGCGAGACCCTAAAAATTTCCGATTTACAGGTCTATTCGGGCGATCATGTAATGACAATATTATCAGTTAGATTGGTCTTGAGGGTTCCTCCGAGCTTCTGTTCTTCATTTTGTTCTTCCTTTCAACAATTGCCACTATATTGTTCTTCTTCTTCTTCTCCTCTCTTACCTCAATCCCGAGGATCACGATATTTATTCTTCTTTTCTTTCATTGATGAACAAGGCTAAGCATCGCCAACTTGATTGTGCGTTTCGCTTGAGATTATTACTTATCTACGATTTCACTGAGGCTGACTCGTTGCTTTTCTCTGTTGGATAGTCGCCGTCCTCCTCAACATGGGAGCGTCAAGGGAGCTGGCGAGTCCCGCATGCAATCAAGGGGTGAGGGTGTGGTACGTACCATGTCGAATGTGCTTGGTGCCCATGGAAGTACCACCCTGCTTTCGATTTCTCGCCCCAAACTGCATTTACTTGTACTTCCTTCCGCCTCTGTAATAATACATTGATCTATCGAGAGGTGGACGGACTGAACCGATGCGGGCACCGACACTTTGACCTCTTTTCTTAATCTTCCACCCCTTGTCCCTCTTTCTTGCAGGCCCCCGCTTCCCCTTTGTCACTGACGAGCGAGTTTTTTTCTTTTTTTTTTTTTTTTCTCTCTTCTTTTTTTTCTTCTTTTTTTCTTTTTCTCTTTCCGTTTATCGTCCTCCCCTTTCTTTGCCTTCTCCTCCTGCCCTTAGCGTGTTGGCTAAGTCCCTGAGTCCTGTCACTAGTTTATACTCTAAGGCTCTCTTTTCCTCGCCCAATGCGCCGAGGAGCACTCTTTTCCCTCGTTGTCTTTCACCAAAGCCACAAAATACAGCAAGGGAACCTTGGGAGTTCTTGACGCTCCACAACCCTGTGCTAACAAGGGGTGCCCAAGTATCTTGGACCCACTCTGACTTCCCACCGTGCGATTTCGACTGGTCCCTTTTGATCTCTCCACTTTCCACTCCCCACTGAAAATTTTGTGCGCTGTCGGGCACTTTCACTTTCTGACAAAGACGGAAATCAAGACCAGCTTTCCCCATTGTTCTTGTCTTCTAGAATGTCACATCTCCTATAACAAGACAATGGAGGTCGCTCCGACCCCTTACTTCTGCAACCACTAGACTTGGCATCCGGTAATTATTACTGGATCCATTCCGACATCGACTCCACTTCCGCGACTATTCTCCATCGTTCCCCTCCCGCCTACAACCAAGAGGCAGGACCATTCCCTGCAACTTCTAGACTGGATCCCGTCACCTTCGTCGACCTTCTTTGCCCTTTCTTCGAGTCCTGGAACAGACTCGATTCTCCTGGGGCTTTTTCTTCTTTGCGATCCCACCTTCTGCCATTCCCCGCTAGTCAATCACAGCATCGGTTTCGTCGTCTCTGTTCCCTATTCACTTTTTTCTAATTTTTTTTTTTCCCTTTCCCCCGGGCCACTTCTCTCACTCTCTTCTTCCTCCTTTGAGATCAGCTTCGACTTTGGGTTTCGTCCACATACGCCCGCTTTCGCTTTCCTTCCTCCTGTTTTTTTTTCTTCTTCTTTTTGTTTTTCCTTTCCTTCCTGTCTCTCTTTTTGGTCTGAGAAAGGTGAAGACGGCAGAAGCCCAGACCCCAATTTTTATTGATCGTCAAGTGAGTCGCTCTTCTGAAGCAGTCATTGAATGCTTGTCCCTTTTATCCTACGTGCTTCCTCCCCCACCCCCTTCCGGCCCTTGTCACCTTTAGTGGTAAATCTTCGACCCGTCTCGCTTCCCACGCCCGTTTCTCCGCTCGACCCTCAGCTCCAGCCATCAACTTCATCTGTGTCTTCCCGGTATCCTACCCTTTCCCCTCCCAGTTTCCCGCCCTTGTCGTTGGAATTGATTCCCAGTGCTGTAACCCTGCTTGTTATTCAGCTGCTGTGAGTGGGTTTATCCGACCCAAATTGCCCACCACTTCCCTCTTGACACACTCGCACTGCCGATTCACATACTCTCTTGTTTTCCTGCTCTGGTCGCTCTCCTCAACCCAACAATAGCACAGCACCTTCCATCGCGTCCGTTTAACGACACCACAGGGGCTACATCTTTGGTTTACCACGATCCCATCCATCGATCTTCCACCACGGAGTCCTTTCACGCCGTGAATTCATCTTTTGAAGTGTCGTCGCTCCCGACAAGGCTAATTTCCAAACGTCCTAGGCGTGCACGAACGTCTTCGCGATCTTGCGACCTCTCTCTCCTCAGCCTTCCATCACGAACTCGATCCGGACTCTTGAGCTGGTTATCTGCCGCTTTCTATAGCAAAGCGCCCCCTTGGACTGGCCTTGTTCAGCACGAATGAGTTGCAGAACCTCGTCGGACCCTCGAGCTTGATAATCTTTTGTCCCGGAGCGGCCGCGCGCGTTCTGCCTGATACCCAGTCTCTGGTCTTCTTTTTTTCTCTCGCCCGATACATCACACCAACCCTTCGTATACACCTGACAAGGCGACTAAACTGGCGGCATCTCGATTCGCGGATACCCTTGTCCGTTTTCTTTTCGTTAACCCGACGCATCTTGCCAGCGGTGAGAATCGAACCAAGTAACCGAGTTGACTCGGGTTACGTTGCGTGTGTGGCCTTAATGCTCCAGTCGTGAGACTGGATGCTGTAGGACCCACGATGGACAAGCTAAAATATAATATCATCTATGTCAATCGGGACGTCGTGACGGACGGGCTCGTGCCAACATCGCTAGCTAGATCCGAAAGTGGATTGGTTAACGTGGTTGGCGAGGGTAGCTCGGGGACTTCGAACGAAACCTACGGTTCCTCCTTGAGTTTAGCGATGGTGCGTCGAAAACCGAGTCTCTTCGTACTCCACTCTTTCCGTGGCCTCGTATCACTAATCCTGGCGTTGCCTTAGTCTATGCCTGTGCGACTGGCGCATCTTGCCTCTCTTACCTTTTCCAGCTTCACGACCCTTCCATGATTGATCTAAAGCCAACAATCCTTTTAATCGATACACCACACGATGAGCGCATACCCGAACCCCGTCCGAGAACCCGCTCCGCTTCTCCCCACTCTAGATCACCGCTTGTCGAGAACGAAATCAACACTCCCGAGGAGGAGGTTTATGGCCTAGCACTTTTGCAGAGGGTCATCACTGAGGTCCACATGAGAAACATGGCGAAATTGGTCGTGCCCGTACCACTCATTAGCGTTTCCCTAGCACACGATGCACCTGCGGACCTCGCTATTCCTACTGATCTCATCCCCAGTCCGGCGCTGCTCAAACGATGCGTAGATTTGGGCGCGGCGGACGTAATAGTGAGCCCCTAGACGTCAAATGTGTAACAAATCTTGCGGTACAGGCATACAAAGCCCACAAAGAGGCAGCCAAGGAGCAGCAAGCTATGCTGGAGCTTCGTAGGGGCCGCAAGTTGTCATGGGTTGGCATGCATGAGGAAAAGCCGTTTGCCTACCTTCGTGAGGCTATGGTATCCGACCTGATGAAGGGCATCTGTCGCCTCGGCTGGGACGCGGATGATCTTATCGGAAGCGCCAAAATCTCCGTTTCTCATGAGCGGCGGGCATCGATCACTGCTGCGGTCGGCTGCTGGCACTTTCCTGCCCACGACTTTGCCGACGATGAGTTGCTTCTTGCAGCCATGCTCATGTTTAAGCATGCTTTTAGTATCCCTGAGCTGGAAAAGTGGCGGATACCAACAGGTTAGTTCCACCTCACCGTCTGGAGCCCCAGATACCACCACACCCGGACACGCTTTCTTTAATCATTTCGCAATAATGCTGACCAAGTCATCCCAGACCAACTTATCGGTTTCCTCATCGCTTGCCGCGGGGCGTATAATCCCTTTGTTCCCTACCACAACTTCCGCCATGTCGTCGACGTCCTGCAAGCTACCTTTCACTTTCTTGTCAGCATTGGCGCATTCCTCCTTACTCAACCGCAGGCTCTCCTCCTGCACAGCCAAAGTCACCCATGGCTAATCTCATCAGTCCTTTTGATGGACTTACGCTTCTCATCACCGCGATCGGTCATGATGTCGGTCATCCCGGTGTGAACAATAATTTCTTGATAACGCTCAACGCGCCTCTTGCCCAGCTCTACAACGACCGCTCAGTTTTGGAGTCCTTCCACTGCGCCGCATTTTCCCAGATCCTCCGTCGCTATTGGCCCGTTGCCTTTGAAGAAATAAAGATGCGCAAATTAATCATCAGCTCCATATTGGCCACGGATATGGGCCTGCATTTCGATTATATGAAGAAGCTAGCTGATGCCCAAACCACGCCGGACGCCGTTCTTTCAGATGAGCGTGTTGCAGAGGAGCAAAGGTCTCTTGCATGTGCCTTGCTAATCAAATGCGCCGATATCAGCAACGTGGTAAGTCTCACAAATGTTTTTCTGCCACCACCTATCTTTTTAGAATGCGAAGCAACTCGCCTTTGTAGCTTGCTTTGAGCAATTTAGCTAACGTAGCCACACTAGGCGCGGCATTACGATACAGCGAAGCAGTGGATGCATATCTTGTCGGACGAATTTTCTAGGCAAGCCTCTATGGAAAGCGAGCTTGGTATTCCTTCGGCGTTGCTCTCGCCTCCGAAAAGGACATTGAGTCACTTACTAAGGCCCAGTTGGGCTTCATGAAGCTTTTGCCCTGCCACTCTTCCAAGGGGTCGTGGACCTGATGCCCGCGCTCAAGTACACGGTTGACGAACTTCAGATCAACCGTGCCTTGTTCGAGTCTGGCGCTGTTGCTGCGCCGGTCAACGGTGACGGAGCCTCTGCGGCAAATCACACTACCAATGGTTTTGCAAGCTCTGTTTCGACAACCGAGAGCAGTCTTGGTGACGGCCCAGCACCCTCGGATAGCGACGTTGATGGCTGTAGTCCAGCGACTGCGATTCTTACTAGCCCACCATTGGCAGCTCCTATAACGCCTGTGACCCCGTTGGATGCAGCGCGGCCAGATGGGGTGAGCTATTTCTCGACGACAACGATAGATCACCTAGCGGATGCCCCGCGTGGAGGGCCAGATGTGGCGGCGGAAGAGCTCCAAAAGATTAATGGTGTAGTGACAACGTTCGACAGTGTTGCTGATTTCGCGACGAGCGACCCCTTCAACATGCGGTACAGGCTTGATAGCTTTGGGGATGCAAGGGGTCTCGCGTCGGCGAAACAGCGATATAGCGAAGCCACCAACGGCAGCAATTGCCCGTCTCAAGCAACAAGTGCGACGACGGGGAAAATGCCGCTCTCCCCAAGCACGCAAGGCACCAGCATCGCCAGCAGGGATTCCATGGATCGGTCCATGAGCGTACCACGACCAGTTTCCTCGGTAGCCTACGACCCCAGTTGCCTAGGAACTTGTAACTCGAGCAAGCTGGAGACTCCAATTCTGGTGACACCAGATTCCGACCTGCCTCCCGAGGTCCTTGTAACGGAGTCTAGCCGTGACGACGACTCCGGCTCCAACGGTAGCATGGGAAAGCCCGAGAATACCACGCTTAGGAAAAGGCCGAGTCGGTTCAGGATGAATGCCTTGAATCTTTTAGGAGAAACAAGACTCCTACCGGGGCGCAAGTGGCGGCAGCAGCAGACGCCAGTTCGTGATGATGGCTCATCTCATTACCGCGCTCAAGACCGCGTTGCCTTGCCACTATGCTTTCGAGGCCCATTTCTCACCTCCAACAGTGGGCTCCACGGGCAAGGATGACGGGCTGTCCAGTCGCATGATCTTGGGCGGCGGCATGATTCTTCACGCGCCCATCCTACCTTCCCCTTTTCGCACTTTGTTTCTTCTTCATCGCATTACCCGGTGGGAAATGTATCAATGGCGTTTTGGGCTTTGATACTTATTATTGCATTATCGCGTTTCCTCTCTATATACTTGGCATCCCTTGTTTCTCCTCGGTGTTGGACGGCGGAGAAAAGCATGGTTTTTTTCTCCTTCTCTCTCTCTCTCACTCTGTTTTTTTCCTTCTTTTTTTCCCTGAACATTACGATGTATACAATAATGAGAGCCCGACAAAAACCGCAAGGGATGAGACCTAGTAACGAACACTGGACCCTCCGGCAGACACCTTGGCCACATTACTCCTTCCCAAGCGAACGGTTGATGGCGGCGTTTTTGACCCAACACAATCTCCGGCTGCTTAGCTATCTCGAGATAAAACCCCGGCCCACCAGAGCGACGTCATATCGTCTAGGATGGTGGATGAGCGAGGTAGAATATCGTGCACCGCCAAGGGAGCATGGGAAAGCGTGGCGGCCCCTAGATACCGATGATGTTTGGAGGCGCTTTAGGGACTGGATGTCCGGTGTGGATCATGTATAGAATGGAATAGGTCTGGACGGGAGGGACTTTTATAGTGGGAATGGACGGGGGAACGGCATATCCAGCGTACTTGGAACGGGCGTGGACGGAGGAGACGAGTCTCAACATATCGATATATATATATATATATATCTTGTCTATATGTGAGTGTATATTATAAATGCTTATTGGTACTAGACTGGTTGTCTTTATCTCTCTCTCTCTCTCTTCTCTCTCCCTGCGTGCATGCGTGCTGTGGAAGCTTCACGAAATAGCTCTTATTTCTTTTTTCTTTTTTCTTTTTTTCTTTCTCAAGCTTTCCTCGACATATCCGGTACCTGGCGGTTGGCCAAAGCCGGAGTGCGGAAGAAGGGACGGAGGAGATTTGATTGATCGTAATTGCCCGCGGATATCTTTAGGGCTGTCCAACGCAGGTGACTGGTGGGGTTTCAAAATTTCGGCCCCTCCTTCAATGTTCCTTCCCTGTTGGCTGTTTGCGCTGGATGTCGTGTGACGTCTAGACGAAGCCGAAGTCATCCGCCCAATCCAAACAACATTGACCACCTTGCTTTGATAAATACAGGCTTGTTGTTGGGACCGTTGACTTTGATTGTGGAAATTTGCCCTTTTGATTCGAAGTACTTGAATGTTGAAACTATTCTTGAGGTGGAAACCTCATTCAAACTATTTCTCGAAGGTGGGTGGAAATCCTACATTTAGCTTTACGATACAGGCAGCAGATGGCGTTTAGTTCTCTTTAAACACCGAGATACAGAGTTAGCCCTGCTGAAAGCCCTCAATTAGGCATCTGTGGAGGCATGGCACCAACAGAACTTGAAGCCGAACTAGAAACAAGGCTTAGACGAGGAGGTTGGGGCTGGAGGCATAGGCTCACGACTTTGATGACATCTACATCTATGGATGTATGAACTGGCAGAACTTCATCCGTTTATTAGACGTTACCCCACAAGGGATTGAGCTTTGGATTCGATGGCACTCCCACAAATCTTGGGCTTTTCTTTGGTCAGCGGAGCGTAGCGGGGGTCAATGAGGGAAGAAAAATGGTAACGAGGGTAGGAAACCAATTTTTTTTTTTTTTTTTTTCGTTATACCCAGATAGCAAGTATGCTGCCGCTCGACCAGGGACATACTAAAAAATTTTCCCCTCGGTTCCTTCTTTTTTTTTTTTTTTTTTTCCACTTCCTACAGTTAGATGCAGACTTGAGGTCTATTTCTCTCTCTTATTCTTTCTTGCTGAGAAGAAAACATCACTCTTTACCTTTCTCTCATCTTCCCTTTGGTTCTCCTCTCTCTCTATCTCCTCCTCTCACCAATTTTGGTTGACTGAGGTTAACAAAATTGAGCGGTGTAAATCACTGCTGTCTCCCGAGGCCTGGGGCATAACTTTTCTTGTCTTCTTTGTCAGTCAGGTAGTGCCCAGCTCCTGCCTTGTATAAGGGATAAGATAAGAGAAAGTATTGAGAGGTATGTGCATTTTATCCATCTATTGAGGGATCCATCCATCCATGGTGGATGGATCCATTGTCTGAGCACTCTTCAATGCCGAGCTGGAAGCCCTCTGAAGCTGCTCTTCACCACCTGAACAGAAAAGAAAAAAATATTGCCACTGAAACCTCAATCCAGCTCGGTCAGCTCAACCTGCCTTGCACCCTAGGCTTATTAAGGCACTTTCTCCAAGGCCCTCTCCACTCCACTCCACTACTCCCAGAAACTGGAAGTTTTGAAGCCCCTCAATCCTCTTGCCCCCTTGAAAAAAAAAAGAGCACCCACCACACCCACCACCCCCTTGACCAAGTTTGAATGTGGTCAGGCCTGCCTGGGCTGAACTAGACCGTGCAAACCCGCTTCACAGCACTCCCCTTCTGACTCGCCGAATCCCCATCAGCCTCCCCTACCGGACCAACCTGTCCTTTCCCTTCCAGTTTGTTTTCCTGAGTGAAATCACTGTGAAATATTAATTCTTTGTGGTGTGGGCTCTGGAACAGGACCAGGCCTCGCAGATCGGTTAGGCGAATATTTTCTTCTCCTCGGAATTTGGACGCGATAAACGAGCCAATCTCACGATTCGCAACGTGCTGCTGATGACACCGCCCCGTCCGCCGCCCGCCTCCCTCTCAGCCCCAACCGACCTTAGTTCTCCTCGAGCTGCCCGAGCAGCTCGTCGTCATCACGTCTTCCTCCAAGAAAAGAAAGGTCACCCGCAACTCGGCTCGCGATAGAGACGCTGAACAGTCTCCTTCGCCTCAGGCCGCCTCTGCCGAGAGCATTCTCCCCTCGTGCGAATCCAACGACGAAGACGACCAAGCCGCCTTCTCCTTCTCCGTCGCCTCCCAGTCGAGCTTCTCTACAACGACACATCCTCAAGACTCCATATCGAGTCTCCCTTCCCGCCTACAGACCCGCCATTCCTCTCTCGTCTCTGCCGGCTACCCTTCGTCGACCGCCTCGTCACCCTGCGCAGCCTACGCCGACCTCTCCCTCGAAGGCGAACCCTCGTCCGCCACAACCGAGACTGGCCCTGCGTTGCACCCTGCCTCAGCCAGAAGCCGGTCTCCTATCCGATACACTCGCCGGGGAATCATGTCAGGGAATGGAGATTCCATACGCTCATCTTCGCCTTTAAAACGACGCGCCTCGAGTATGGATCCCGAACCGAACGAGTCCGGCGGACAGCCTCCCACCGATTTCTCCCGAGCCATGAGCGTCGACGCTCCCGATTCTGGTCCGGGCTACGCTCAGAATCCTGATGCCAGTGAGTTTTTTGAACTGCCATATGCATTCCCTCTACCAGTCTTTGTGGAGTTTCTGAGAGGGGGCGTTTCAACGCTCTATGTTTCCCTCCCTCGGGACTTGGCCTGCTTTTTTTTCTCCCTTCGCCTCGCATTAGCACCTGCCCAGGCTGCTGTTTTTGCCCCAAGTACAGGTCAAGCTAATATCTCAAGTAGTGCCCCCTCTTCCCGAACAGCTCAAAACCATCCAGACCCTCCAGCGAGCGTTCAACGAAACCCCTGTCCAAGAAAACGACGTCGCTTTCGTCGTGACCAAGACCTGGGTCAGCAAAGCCTTGGCTGCGGGAGGAGACCCTAAATATGCAAAGGAGAGTAGTTCTGATGAGCCCCTCGGCCCGGTGGACAACTCCAACATCATCCAAGAGGTCATCGAGTTACCCTCGGGCGACCACTTTGTCCGTTTGAAGCCCGGGACGGACCTGGAGACCTCTGAGCTTTTCTCGGAAGATGCATGGAGCCTCATCCAGAAGTGGTATGGTTTGAAGGATGGGCAATACCCAATTCGCCGCGTCGCCCTCAACACCCAGGCTGATGCCTCCTCACCTCCCAACATTATTTACGAGATGCACCCCCGTCTTTACCATCTATCGGCTGTGGTCTGATGTTAGCGGCATCAATATTCCTCAATCTATCAAGGCGGCCAACCCCCGCCCGTCGTCATGGTCAGGAGCGCGGGTTACGCGTACCAGCAATTTATAAAGGATATCAAGGTTGCCCTCAAAATTCCTCAGGAGCGCAAGATTCGCCTGTGGGAAGTCGACCGTACCGTTCCGGAGGTCACCTCTCGCCCTGCACCTTCGGCGTCAGCCATGACGCCCCCGACCACACCCCCGAGTCAGGCGAGCTCCCAGACTTTTGGGGCTCTCTCCTCGTGGATGTACCCAGCTGGTCGCAGGTTGAGCGCAGCAAGAGGATCAAGATTGAGGGCGAGGACCAGACGGCAAACCCCAAGTACAACGGTAAAGCGACCCTCAACCTTTACAACCTAGTCATGGACAAGACCATCGTTGTCGAAGAATCTGCCGAGGGAGGCGGCTGGGTCTCCACCCGGATCACCAAGGCCAACGGCAAGAGCCGGCCAGCCAATATCTCTACTCAATCTCGGGCTAGCAGTGGCCGAAGCAGTCCCGCCCTCGGGCCCGTCACTCGTGGCAGGGCACAAAAGAAGAAGGGGTGGAGGGGCACTGGGGCCGTCGGCCTTGGGAACCTAGGAAATACATGCTACATGAATTCTGCCCTTCAATGCGTGCGGAGCGTGGAAGAGCTCACCAAGTATTTCCTGACGAACGAGTATGCCGAGGAAATCAACACCGATAATCCCCTCGCGTTCAAAGGCAAGATGGCATTGGCGTACGGGAACCTGCTGAGGGAGATGTACCACTGCAGTGATCATCTCCGCCCCTCGAGCTTCAAGAGCGTTGCTGGACAGTGCCGGCCGACTTTTGCTTCCTGGGGCCAGCAGGACTCGCAAGAGTTTCTCGGCTTCCTCCTGGACGCCTTGCAGGAAGACCTTAGCAGGGTCAAACGCAAGCCGTACATTGAGAAGCCTGATTCCACTGATGACATGGTTAACGACCAGGCCGCCATCGCGAAGATGGCCGATGAAGTCTGGGACATCACCAAGCGAAGGGACGACTCTGTTATCGCTGATCTATTCACTGGCCTCTACAAAAGCACCCTCAAGTGCCCCGTGTGCCACAAGATTAGTATAACGTTTGATCCTTTCAACAACCTCACCCTCCCCTGCCTGTTGAGAACCTGTGGTCCAAGGTCGTCAAGTTCTACCCCCTTAGCGACACACCTGTGGCGCTCGAAGTCGACATTCCCCAGCACAGCTCCATCGAAGTCCTCAAGCACTTCATATCCGAGCGCACAGGCATCCCTGCTGATCGTCTTATCGGCGCGGAAGAGTTCAAGGGAAAGTTCTTCAGGATCTATGATGACTCGATGGATGTCTCGGAAGAAATTCAGGATAGCGACACCCCTGCCGTCCACGAGCTCGAAAAGGTCCCCTCGAACTGGCCCCCGCGTCCGGTCTCGATGCAGAAGAGGCCCCGCAGCCGCAAACCCGACGACGATAGCCCCGAAAGCGATGATGATGGCTGGGATGACCCTCGTTGCGACCAGATGGCCATTGCCGTTCTCCATCGTCGGGGTCTCGATTTAACCGTTCATCTTATAAGAAGGATGACAACATCCCACCTCATTTTATCCTTGTCACTCGCGAGGAGGTAATTATTTTTTTCCCCATCTTATCCATCTACCCAGTGCCCCTCTTAGTGGAATATTCTAATTTGGTACGGAACAGGCCCGCAGCGAGGACGCAATTCGTCGCAAGATCCTCGAGAAGATGGCTACCCTCTCAACATGGTCCGTCCTCCATAACGATGAGGGAGAAACCACAGATGCTGAGATGACGCTCAATTCGGATGGCGACTCGGGCGACTCTAAAATCATCGCCAAGTCTGTCGAAGGAGAAGAGGACATTGTCGATGTCACTATGAAGGATGTCGCCAAGCCTCCCTCTAAGCTGGGCAAGAAGTATGTTGTTCCCCTTCCAATATCCTCGATACCCCCTCGCCAACGCCTCCTTGCCAACGCCTCTAACACTCTTCTCCTTAATAGCCCTCCCGTTTCCATTCTCAAAAGTTTAGCACGCAACGCCCCAGATGGGTGGACCCAGAGGAGTTCCTTGACCCTCGTTTGCAAAATCTTTTGAGATGGGCTACTTCACCGACCTTCGTAGTGGAGATGGTGCGATGGCGACTGGGTGGAGCGGCGTGGAGGATAATAAGATGTATCCTAAGCTGTCGTCCCGCCTTCCCGAGCCTGAGACGCCCATTGACGACGACGCCCAGAGCACCGGCGAGTGGACCAATGGCAATGCCTCAGACAACGAGAGCGTGAGCGAGGAGGGATCCACCGATGCGCCTACCCAAACCCGCATGGCCGACGAGTCTTCTGAAGACGAGGTGGCTGTCTCGTTCAAGGTATGTTGTTCCCCATGGTTCTTTGCTTGTGTCTCTTTCTCCCTCTCCCTCTTATAGCCCTACTAACGGTGTTATACCCAAAGAACCCAAACCGCTTGAATGGTCGTGCAAAGGCGAAACACAAGGTTGGGGCCGGACGCGGCCGTCCTAGCAAGCAGAAGAAGACGTACTCGAAGAAGGAGCGACGTGCGGCGAAGGCGAAGAGGAACAGACAATCAGCCAACAATTTCCAAAGTTCGGATGTTGCCCCGCAGCCCGCCCTTCCCTCGCTTATCGATGACGGATCTCTTATTCACCTCGGCGAGGGCATCGTTGTAGATTGGACCGAGGAGGCTTGGGATACTGTCTTTGGCCAAGATACGTCGGAGTATGGCGATAAGCGCGGAGCCAAAACCTTTGCAGACCTTGAGCAGCTCAAGGACGTCGGCCTGGAGATGAAGCGCAAAGCCCGCGTTTCCCGCCGTAGCACCGGCATCACCCTCGACGACTGTCTCGACGAGTTTGAGCGGGCCGAGGTCCTCTCCGAGCAAGATATGTGGTACTGTCCACGGTGCAAAGAGCACAGGCGCGCTAGCAAGAAGTTTGATCTCTGGAAGACGCCTGATATCCTCGTGTGCCATCTAAAGCGGTTCAGCTCATCGCACTACCGCCGAGACAAGATTGACATCAAGGTTACCTTCCCCGTGGAGGGGCTAGATCTTGAGAGTAGAGTTTTGCACAAGGAGGACGGCAAGGTCGAGATCTACGACCTCATCGGTGTGGACGAGCATTACGGTGGGCTTGGCGGTGGCCACTACACGGCGAGCGCCAGGAACTTCTTGGATGGGGCTTGGTACCACTATAACGGTAAGTTTCGCAGAGGCCCTTTTTTTTTTTCTCCCATTCAAAATCTTCGAGTATCCTTTAAGCCTCCCGGAGCTTCACAAGCCGGACGACACTAACAATGGTTTTTGTTCCCCAATACAGACAGCTCCGTGAGCAAGGTTAAGGACCCCTCACAGGTTGTTACCAGTGCCGCGTACCTACTCTTCTACCGACGGCGCTCCTCGGTCCCTCTCGGCGGACCGCGTTTTGCAGAAATCGAAACCAAGTTTCAAGGCCGATCATCCGACGAGGACTCCGACGACGCCGGGTCGGGGGACGAGCGGCGGGTTGGCGTGTCATCCCAGTATGGCTCGTCGACCGCTGGCAAGGGAACGGGAGCAGGGATGGGTCTCCTACGGGGAGTGGCAAATCGGGGTGGTTCTGAGCCGATGGACGAGCTCCCGTCGTACACATCTTTACACCCGAGCATCGAGGACGAGGGGATCGAAATGGGTGAGTCCAGTAATACGGCGGCGGCCGGGGCGTACTCGACGGGTTGGAGCTTTGGCCAGCTGAGCGGCGCGGAAGGCAGCAGCGAGGAAGCCGGAAAGATATCACTTGTTGACTATGCCAGCGATGACGCGCAGCTCGACTCGGCCAGTGAAGGCCCCGATACCCTCATGGATTCCGACCACGCTCTCCCTGACGCGTCAGGAGCGTACTTTGAGTCGGTTACTCAAGGCGAGGAGCTCCCGGACTACGAGTACACGGAAGCAGCACCTGCGGTTGTTCAGGAAGGCGGAGCGGCTCAGGTTCCTGGGACCACCACCTGGGCGGTGGCGGCACAGGCTGGAGCCGGACGCAAGACCAGGACTCTGACACTGTTGCGGAAATTCGACTGGAGGACGAAACGAAGGAATAGCCAGCACAATACTCGCGACAAGTCTAGCCCTAGTGCTAGAAACCCCGACGGCAAGCGCCCCGATAAGGCTCGACGGACGCCATTCAAGTTTTAAAGGCGTCATTCACACTACGCCTCCCCCTCGCCCCCGGTTTCTGTTGGGTTCCTACTACCAGAAACAGCCAAATGAGAGGTGGGCTGGATTCACATTTCAGCCCTGGGCTTGGAAGCATCGTAGATACGCTCGTTCATAGCTTAGGACATGACGGGCTTGGATGTTGATGATAATGATGATGATGACAACCGAGGTGGAGAGGGGGAGGGAAACAGGCGAAATTAAAACATGGCGGAACAGGATGCATGTCGCTTTATGAGAGAATGAATGAGGAAACAGAGTAGGAGGTAGAGAAGGAAGGGAGCTAGGAAGAAAGAGAAGAGGGAAACGAAGCAGTAGAGGTGCATGGCAAGGGGACCAAGGATTGGAAGAGTATGGGGTTACTGCATAGACACTCGCACACGCGCGCACACACGCGCATCCTTTTAGACGTCGGATGTCCTCGAGTGGTCCAACCTTTGTGTTTCTCATTGTCTTCAACCGCAGCGAGGCATCGACTGGTTCATGTTATCTGGAGTTCAGGGTTCTGCATGCCGTCGTCAAGGAAAGAAATACAACAGTCATATAAAGCATGGTATTACAAACAATTTGTTCCACAAAAGAGGTGTAGATGTAGATGGGAATGACAAGAGGAAGCGCCCCAAATCACTGTTCTCACGAGATCCGATGAAACCTGCCTTGTTAGGAGTCGAAGGAGGGCTCGTACCCACAGCTGCCCCCTCAAGCACTGGTTACCCGTTCTACAGCGAGTTGTTAGGCGCAGGCGGATAACACAAGACGTGCGACTAGAACAGGCTTCTTGAGTTGGTGAGTCCGAATGGCTTAAGCTTCTCAACCTAGGACATTGATCTACGTTTAAGATTTCTTCACGACGATGTAATATGCGGTTGGCAGAAGAGAGAGGGAGCTTGGGGCACAGGACAAATCGGGAAGCAAGCACGAGGTTTCTCTCAAAAAGGGCGTCAAGAAGAGGGGGGCCAAGGTTGCGTCCTTTTTCGCAGCGAACTAAACAAAGGACTATTGAAAGTCTTTGGACGGGCGGTGACGTGTGACGTGGGCATCAATCCCACCCAACCGAAAGCGGAAGCAGAGGGGCGGAGGTTTTTGTTTTTTTGCGAGGCCAACCAACCAGGGTGGTGTGGGAGGAGCTTGGAAGAGGACGGAGCTGTGCCTGCGAGGGACAGGCAACCAGTTTGCTGGCGTAATGTGGGGAAAGCTGTGATACGGGTTCATGTTGGGGCTTTTGGGAAGAGGAGAAGGCGGAAAGGTGCAAGTTCGAGAGGGGGCGTTGGGATACAACATGGGTAGAGGTATCTTTCACATCTTCTCTCGCCATGGCAGACCATGGCCTGCATGGGCCAATTCCGATTCCAAGAAATCCGCTTTTGTTCTTTTCCCTTTTTCCCTTCCCGTGCTTTTACCTCAATTAGTACAGGGCTTCTCGTTGCGCCAAAGGCAAGCTTCAATCGGCCCCCAACCCGGATTCTCCCCTTCTCTTTCCTTTTCCCCTCTTTTGTCTTACAAAATAAAAACGAGGCGACAATGAGCAAGTATCAATCCTGTTCAAGTGTGATTGACGGGGAGTGGCCGAGGCGCGGTCGATTAAGTTGTTCCTGATGGTCTCATTCTGCTTCGTGGAAGCTCAAGCTTTACGGATCCTTTGAGGGCGGCCAGCCATCCAGGTACCAAGAGCTCTCCTGGCAGGGAAGAAGTGGAAGAGATGGCTGTGTACCTGCAGTGTCGCATGACTGGCCAGGCCCGCTGCTGGTGCTGGGCAGAGGGGGAGGAGGTGGAGTTCCCGAGAAACGAGGATTGTGCCCTTTTTCGTCCGAAGCAGAGGCTGCCCTGGTCAATTCTTTTGGCGAGTGATGTGCTGTCAAGCGAACGCCTCTGGCTGTCTGTATCGATCACCTCTCTGACGAGATGGCGGGCGACGGGAGGAGCCAGCAGGCTTCAACGGCTTTCTTGCTTGGGGCACCTGGAAAAAGAGTCATGCCACGGATCGATGCAGAGCACTGGGCTTCTCCCCGTCAGTGGTTCGGCGGCAGCGGACCAGCCCAGGAGCGATTGCTAGCGAATGCATTGTGTTGTGAAGAATTCGGTGCCTGAAGGACGAGCAAGGTTCGAGATTGGCGATAACAAGTACCTTTTACTTTTCCTCGGTGACGACTATTGCCTCCTCTTGGGGTGGTGGGTGGCGAGTGCCACTCGCCTGCCATTGTGGAGACGTCGAAACATGACGAAGCCACTGAGAAGGCAATAGTAAACAGAAGAGAAAATGGTAAACGCCAGCGGAGGGCGACAAGGAAGAGCCCAAGGTCGCATGGGACACAAGTACCAGGTACTCGTGTCCGGCAACGCAGTACTTTGTCCCTCTGTCGGAGGGGGTTCTTTCCCAGTTTCAGCTCCACCCTCCAATGCCGTGCCCCTTCCCTCAACAGGACCGACCTGGTCCGTGTGCTCTGTTGCTCTGTCGGCCGTCGTCATGGGGGAAGAAGCCCGCCCACCGAGCACCTCCGCCTCGGATCACCTGGTAAACGAAGCTGCCTGTTTCGTCACTGATACTTGATACTTGGGACCTACCTCCCGGCTGCACCCATCTCTGGCTGACGATCCCCTTGCTTTCCTCCCCCAAATAACAATACCTTCTCCCTCCTGTTTCTTTCCCTCTTCACAAACCCTTTCTCTCTCTCTCCTCCATACCACTTCCATCCCCTCTTGCCATAAGATCCAATCTCCATTTTCGGCAGGACCGTTTCAACAGCGAGCCAACGCTTCTGTGTGACCTAGACGGCGAGAGTAGTTGATTTCCCCCACCTCATTCCGCACCTCACTCCCAACTCCTCCCTTCCTCCCTCAAAAGAGCCGTAACCATGAAGCTTGCCACCTCGCTCGTGCTGGGCGCCGCCTCGTCGGCGCTCGCCCTCGACAGCCAGGTTCGCCTGGGCGCTGGCGACGCTCCCGCCGTGGAGAAGAAGCCCCTCAACACCTGGGACGCGATCCAGCAGGCCATGACCAAGGCCGGCTCCGAGGCCAAGGCCATCTGGGACGAGGTGTCGCTGCTCGCGCCCGATGCCGTCGAGGCCTTCAAGGCGTCGGCGCTCGCTCACAAGCCTAAGCCCGCGAACCGCAGGCCCGACCGCGAGTGGGACCACGTTGTCAAGGGTGCTGACGTTGAGGCTCTCTGGACCTCGGGTGGCGAGAGGACCGTCGGTGGACAGCTCGGTACCTACAACCTCAGGGCGAGGAAGGTTGATCCTTCGTCGCTCGGTGTTGATAGCGTGAAGCAGTACAGCGGTTACCTCGATGATGAGGAAAATGACAAGCATCTATTCTACTGTAAGCAGCGTTCCCTTTTGTGAGGCCTCGCCTCGTATGACGGGTCCCCCATCCAAATCTCCCACACTTTTCTTTGCAAAGAGCTCATCGCTAATTCCGGGTCAATTGCTATAGGGTTCTTCGAGTCTAGGAATGACCCCGAGAATGACCCCGTCGTTCTCTGGCTCAACGGCGGCCCCGGCTGCTCTCTGACCGGTCTCTTCCTCGAGCTCGGACCCTCGAGCATCGACAAGAACATCAAGGTCGTCAACAACCCCTTCTCGTGGAACAACAACGCCTCCGTCATCTTCCTCGACCAGCCCGTCAACGCTGGATACTCGTACAGCGGCTCGTCCGTCACAGACAGCGTCGCCGCCGGCAAGGATGTCTATGCGCTCCTCAGCCTCTTCTTCCACCAGTTCCCCCAATATGCCAGCCAGGACTTCCATATCGCTGGCGAGTCGTATGCTGGACACTACATCCCCGTCTTCGCCTCGGAGATTCTCGAGCACAAGAACCGCAACATCAACCTTAAGAGCGTGCTTATCGGCAACGGTCTGACTGACGGCTACACCCAATACGAGCACTATCGCCCCATGGCTTGCGGTGAGGGTGGTTACCCCGCCGTTCTTAGTGAGAGCGAATGCCGCTCCATGGACAACGCCCTGCCCAGGTGCCAGTCCATGATCAACAGCTGCTACAACTCGGGCAGTGCCTGGTCATGCGTCCCTGCCAGCATCTACTGCAACAACGCTCTCATCGGCCCTTACCAGAGGACTGGCAAGAACGTCTACGACATCCGCGGCGAGTGCGAGGACAACTCCAACCTTTGCTACAAGGGTCTCGGTTACGTCTCCGACTACCTCAACAGGCCCGACGTGATGGAAGCCCTCGGTGCCGAGGTCTCGAGCTACGACAGCTGCAACTTTGATGTCAACCGCGGCTTCCTCTTCGCGGGTGACTGGTTCCAGCCTTACCACCGTCTCGTGCCCGATCTCCTCAAAGAGATCCCCGTCTTGATCTACGCCGGTGACGCCGACTACATTTGCAACTGGCTCGGTAACCAGGCGTGGACTGAGGCGCTGGAGTGGTCCGGCAAGAAGGGCTTCAACGATGCCAAGCTTGAGGACCTCCACGTTTTGGGCGCCGACGCCGAGACCAAGGGAGACTCGTACGGCAAGGTCAAGACGAGCGGCAACTTCACCTTTATGCAGCTCTACCAGGCCGGTCACATGGTGCCCATGGACCAGCCCGAGGCCTCTCTCGACTTCTTCAACCGCTGGCTCGGCGGCGAGTGGAACGCTTAAAGCTTCCCGGGGGCGAGTAGGTGTGTGTCTGTTTGTGATTGTGTCTGCGTACTAGAGCAAGCATCCACAGTCAAAGTGAAAGATGGCGGGGTGAAATCGCATACATAACGGAGCGTAACATGTGTAATTGTAGGTACTCGATATTCTACGGGCACCTCGTTCGTGCCGCGCTAGCGCCGACTGCCAGAACCAGCGGCATCTGTTTTTTTCTCTTACTTTTTCTGGGATGAATACGTTTTTGCACCGTTCCTCGCCTTTCGGTTTTCATTCTTTTTCTCCTTTTGGTTTTTTCGGGGAGCAACGGGGATTCGAACTCGGCAAGGATTTTGAGAACGTCCATTTGATGAATGCATTAGTTAGATTGATAGGAACCAATGCATTTGATTCTCCATGACGATAAGTTGACTTGATAGCTTGACTCTTCCCAAGCTGGTCTTCGCTACAGGTTTGGGGTAGCTTTGTGACAATGATAGATGCTAGGTACTCCGTTGCGCCCACCACAACACATGCTCGGCGTGGAACGTTTCAAGGCTTACATCCAACCAAGTCATCTATTATGAAGAATGGTAGGTCAGAGACAAGGCCCATTTGTGGAAGCACACTACAACTATAGCAAGCTTAAATAGTCCAATGAACATAAGTGAGGATGATATAGTTGCCATTTGTCAAAGAGAATGCAAAAGAAAAAGTGGAAAAATACAAAATATGCTAGTTATAGTATGAGGCTGTCGCTCTCGCAAGTTCAAGGCTAGCAATACTGCACAGTTGTTCACCACTTTATAATTCAAGTAGAGATCACAATTATCTACCGAGGTATAGCTCCAATGGATCAATTGATGGATCTATTAGTTCTCGTATGCTTAGGCTGTTTGGAGGGTGACCCTAAGAAACAGAAACAGGGCCAATCTCCCTATCTGATAAGTTGCAAGAGTATAGCACATTGATTAATTATGGTATCTTAAGGTATTATAAAATAGAGAGTGTATGTGTATATGTGAATATCAAAATCAGTGTGGCAAGTGTAAGTAAAGCCTTCTCTGGTGCTGCCCACTGCTCCAACGTGTGGAGACGAGGCTGAAGGACCTGCCAAATACCAATTAAGTGCAGCACCACCCACTCCCCTCCTTGATTGATCCCACCGCCCACCTTCTCGTCCCGCTCTTCCCTGGGCAACATAACCAAAACTAACCGTGACCAACAACCCCGACAAAAGTTTCTTTAATACGCCCCCTTCCGCCTAGAACCAAACAATACGGGTTTGTCCTTTATTCCTCCAGGGTACCCGTCTCTCGACTTCCCTTAGCTCCTCTCAAATCTCTCCACCCACCCCAATTTGAGAAATGTCCACCATCCCGCCCGAGGTGCTCCAGAGCTCCAAGCCGCCCATCATCCCCCTCTCCTTCAACGCCAACCAGCCGCAGACGATCCGGCTGTACCCGCTGTCCAATTACACCTTTGGCGTCAAGGAAACGCAGCCCGAGGAGGACCCGAGCGTGATTGCGCGGCTCAAGCGCCTCGAGGAGCACTATGGCGAGCACGGCATGCGACGCACCTGCGAGGGCATCCTCGTGTGCCACGAGCACAACCACCCGCACATTTTGATGCTGCAAATCGCCAACGCCTTCTTCAAGCTGCCCGGCGACTACCTACGGCCCGAGGATGACGAGCTCACCGGCTTCCGGTCGCGCCTGGACGAGAGGCTGGCCCCCGTCGGTAGGCTGGGCGAGGGCGAGGAGGCGGGCGACTGGGACGTGGGCGACTGCCTCGCGCAGTGGTGGAGGCCCAACTTTGAGACTTTTATGTATCCCTTTATTCCTGCGCATGTTACTCGGCCCAAGGAATGCAAGAAGCTCTACTTTATTCAGCTTCCTAAGAGCAGTAAGTTTTTCCTGTCCTCTTCGTTTCTCTCTTGTTTTTTCTTCACCCTCTGGGGCACCTCTGGGAGGGTGGTTGGGTGCTATGACTTGTCCTTTTCTACAATTTTGCCCCTTACCTTTTACCGTGTCCGGTTTTGTTCTCGAAAGAAACGAGATCCGTTCTTCCTTGATTTTCTTTTTCACATTTTTCTACTTCCTCGATCTCTACCTTGTTCTGCTTCAATTTTGATGCTAACCAGTGCCTTTTGCGGCTTTCTATAGAGGTCCTTAGTGTTCCTAAAAACATGAAGCTGCTCGCCGTTCCCCTGTTCGAGCTCTACGATAACACCGCGCGCTACGGACCGCAACTCTCCGCGATCCCCCACCTCCTAAGCCGATACAACTTTGAGTTCGTCGATGAGAACGATAATACCGCTGCCATGACCCCCGGATCTGCTCCTCCCGAGGGCTACGTCCCCAAGACCAAGGTCCTCGCTGGCGGCGATGATACCGAGATGAACGAGAATGGCACGAATTGAGGTGGGGCGGAGTGAGTGAGTCGTGGACACGGCGATGCAGGACGGGCTTTGACGAAGCTCACCCCATGTCATTACAAGGCGTGGGTTCCAGGCGTGGGCGAAGGAAGCCGGGGAGGAGGCAAGAAATAAGGCGGATACTGAGCCAAGGAACCGGGTACTGCAGTATTGCTAGGTGCTGGGGCTCAGCGCAGAGAGAGTGTGCACGCAAGAAAACAAAAAGCAAGAGAATAAAGAGCCTAGGAGTTTTTGGCGCAAACTGGGGTGTGTATTTGCAGCATCAAGCACTATGCATGTATGATAGAGCCTAATCTGGGGGAAGGACGATAGCAAAGAGGAGCTTCTTTTCCACAAGCAGATATCCTCATCTCCTCTCCCTCCACTATACGGGCTAGCATATGTTTGTAATTTTTCCACCTTTTCCCTTTTTTTCTGTTTTAATCGTCATGCAAAAAGGGCAAAAGGAAGCCTTCCTATCCGGGTCTTGTGCTCCCTTTTATTGTTACACTAGTGTCCCTTTGCAGCTCCTCGGTCCTCGAGTTGCCTTGGGAGAGAGGGGCTGTGGTATGCGGTCACGAACCCACGGGTCGGTCGACTTTTATCCTTTGTGCCATACCTGTCCCCCTTACCGTGTACTAAGAGGCAAAGGGTGTTGGAGAAGCGCGAATCTCACATCCTGGGAGTCGGCGCATCGACTGCATCTCATTGGTACTTCTCGCCTTGGATGGTGGCGACGACCTTTCGCGTGTGCTTCATGGCGCGGAATTCGAGGTACCAGATGCCTTGCCATGTTCCGGTTGCCTAGCGCAAGAAACCAACGTGTGAGCTTCGTACGTTCTCTTCTCTTCTTCTTCTCATCTTCTTCTCTCTCTCTCTCTCGCTCTTCACCTCTTATCCGTTGCTTTGGTGCTCGTAAAGGCAGGGGAAAGGGATAGTGGTGTTGAGGTGGGAAGGTAGGATTCGAGAGTAGCTTACCAGCTTGCCATCCTTGATGGGGATCGTTACGCTAGCGCCGATAAGGGAGCTCTTGATGTGTGCCTATGCAATCGATCAGTCATATTCAAGGTTCAGGAGCTTGCACGCGAGAGGTAGAGAAGTGGAAGAGAGTAAGCTAAGAAACGATCGAGATGGAAGGAGGAAAGAAAAGAGGGACATTGATAAAGAAAGAAAAAGGCAGCTAAAGAGAAAGAAAAAAACGTACAGGCATGTCGTCCCTGCCCTCAGCGTTGTGTCTGTAGATTTCCTCGCCCTTCTTGCCCTCGTAGGGCGCGATGCGCTCCAGCGCATCCGTCATGTCGTGCCGGACATCCTCGTCCCAGTTCTCGTTGAGGCTGAGGGCGCAGCTAGTGTGCTGGACGAACAAGTTGAGCAGGCCGACCTTGTAGTCGCCAATCTCGGGGAGCTGCTGGACGACGAGGTCGGTGACGAGGTAGGAGCCGCGCGCGCGCGGGCAGGGCGAACTGTTTCTGGAACCACATCGGGCTGGCGGGTCGGTTGGCGGTGGGCGCGGGGAAGACGGCGCGGGAGAGCAAGGTCAGCGGGAGGGTGGTGACGGCGTGGAAGGCGCTGGGGAAGAAGGCGAGCAGGAGGAGGAATACGATGGCGACGGTGGTGATGGCGGAAGAGGACGTGGTGGAGGAGGGCGGCGATGATGGCATTTTCGCCGGAGGGGCGGGGCGGGGTGGGGGTTTGGTGACATGGGCACTTGGGGCCGTTTCTTCCCACGTTTTTCTCTCTTTCTTCCTGACCTTTTTTTTTTCCTTTCTCTCAATGGGCGGGGAGAAGGGGGTGGGGGTGGAGAGGGGTGGGAAACGGGAAAGCTTTGTTAACTACGTAAGACGACGTGCAGGGCCGTCATCAAACCTTACTATGGGTTTGGTGGGTGTCGCTCCTCGGAGAGGGCACTGGTTAGATAGATCAATGGTCGTTTGCGCCCTTGGCGGGGTGCTTTCTTGAGAGGATGTTTCGAATGTTCAAGATAATCAGTCATTATGAGAAGGGTTCGGTGTCCAGTGCTTTCCACATTGTGAATTCTGGCCTGGATTTATAGGAGCATACATGTATGATTTATTAGTCGTATATGTGTGAGTAGAGAGCATAAAGACACATCCATCTACATAGATCCATGGATCTACATATATCAAGGGGTCAATTGAGCGATGATTACACAGTCTCATAGACCACTCAGTCCCCAGTCGGCATTTATACTTATCTTGTCCTTCAGGGATGCTCCGGCCCAAAGGTTTACCGGAGCCTCAAGCCTGGCCGTTGGGGCCCCATGAATCTTCTGTATACGACGGGGGCATTGTTGGTTAAAACTGGAATTCTTTGAAATTTTGATATTTACACAAGAGTGCGACCTGTGTCATTCTATACCACATGCAACTGAACGGCATCGGCACAGCGCACATCTATTTTCCCTCGGCGTCTAGCTATACAGCCCACACATCCTATATCCCACGCACCCCACCCACACCCTTCCCTACACATAAGATTCATAGATTTGTTTATTTCAGGGGTAGGATGTCTCAGGGAGGGCCTCGAGGTGCTTCCTGTGGTGCTCGTTGGCCTATCAAGTTTTTGGTTAGGGTCGATTGTCCAAAACGTATACCTGGGCGCCCTGCCCACAGAGACGAGGGTCTACTCACAAAGGGGTTTCCGCAGTAGCCGCAGGTGGCAATCTCGGCCTTGTCTGTGTTGATAAAGATCCTGGGGTGGCCAGCAGGGCCGCCGCCGCCGTCGCAGGCCACCATCCTGTCGTGCGTCCACTTGACAGGCTGCTGGTGGATGAGCTCGATAGCAGCGTAGGGTTGAGGCTATAGCAAAAGTATCCCAACGTTAGTCTTTGCTCAATTGATCCCTATTTCTCCGGCAGCCTTCCGTCCTCGCGCCCCCTCTCAATGGGCCGTTTCCCAGAATCTCCTGCTCGGTTTCCTCAACTCACCTGGACGGCAAAGTCGGTCTGCTCGAAACGGGGACCCGTCATGGCCTGGGCCCTCGCCCTCTGTCCGCGGGCCCAGATTCCGACCCTGTTGGGTGCCTGCTGGGAAATGGCCTTGGAGTCCGCCTCGGCCTCGACGGGAACGCTGTTCTGGGTGGCCGCCTCGAATTGCCGCGCCGTCGTTGTGAAGGCCCGCGCAGGCACGCGCACGCGGCGAGTGAGCCCGCCCAGCGTCCTTAGCGAAGCGGTCGACATGGTTTTCTATTCCTCTTCGGGTCCTTGTAGAGGCGTGTCTCGAATGATGTGCGGTATACGTCGGGTCGTCGAAGCTCGAGGGGGTCGTCGGCTTTCTGACTTGCTCAATTGCAAAGTTGGCTGAGGAATTTCGAGTTCGATTGGGGTGTCGAATAAGGAGTGCTCTGATTGGCGGACGGGACAACGAGGCCGTGATTATGTAATTTAACATGGGATACCGTCACAAGGCCCTTTTGGGCGTGCTTTCCCTAATAATACTTGGTTAATAATTTTTTTGGGAAGGAGCTCACGGAAAATAATTCTTGGTAACGCTTGGTGAGCCGAGCTTGATGACTTTTATCGTCTCTCTCCCTTTGTTTTTTTCTTTCTTTTCGTAACCTCCCAACCTTTAGTCGCCGCAATTCCCTGCTAGATTCCTGGAATAAGGACTTCACGAATATTTCAAGTTACGACGGCCCTCTAGACATTATCCCTTCCCCTGCATTTCTCTAACCCATCATGGCACCCTCAACACCGACAACGGGGCCTTCGTCCCGACTTCTCTCCATGAAATTCATGCAGCGAGGTGCCGCGACCGCCGATTCTGTTCCCTCCTCCGAAGACGGCTCTTCGAAGCGTCGCAAGCTCTCCCACCAGGCGAGCAAGACCCCGACCCGCGGTGCCGCTGCCGATACCGAAGTCGACCTCTTCTCCCAAGACAAGATCAAGGCTGCCGTCGAGGAGCTCGAGGCGAAGCGCAAGGCTGCCGTTGAGAAGCGCGCGGCCGAGCTATCAGACTCCCACTGGGTTCTCGATATGCCGACGGGGACAAAGGGCGGCGCAGCGGCCGGCGCGGGGGCCAAGGCACCGCTGAGGGTGGTTTACGTAGGGTATGGCGAGATTGACCGGGCAGGTGGAGACTCGGATGAGGAGGAGGCTCAGGATGACGTGCAAACTGGGCGCAGAATCACGGGGAACTACAAGCGCAAGGAAGACAAAGCGCCGCCCAAGGTGAGTGCATGACGCTTTCGCGAGCCTTTTTTTTTTTTTTTTTTCCCTTCATTTCCTCTTTTCTTTTGCTATTGCCTTTCTTGAGGCATTCGAATATTCCTCTATGCGACGGCAATCGCGTTTCGAGGGGGTAACTAATACGTCTGGATTAGCAGGACGCGCAAAGTGGCTCATCGGGAGGTGACAGTGATTCTGACGAGGAAGGAGAAATATCAGACGATTCGGATGAATCGCAGAGTCCAGCTCCCAAAGCGAAGGACGTAAAGAAGAAGAATGGTAAATTTGGCAAAACGGCCGGGCAGTCAGAGAAGAAGAAGAAGCCAGCTAAGCCGGGAAGGTTAGTGTCCATCTCCGCCGGCGGTGGGATCTCGCAAGGCGGTGGCGGTGGTGCCCTTTCCCGGCAGGCCATGGAGTGCTATTCGTGCAATGGACTAGGCCACAGGTCGTCCAATTGCCCTAACAAAGGGCGCAAACGTCGTGCCGCTCCCTACTAAGCGTCAACGCGCAGCATTCCTCGGGGTTTTAAGTCCTTACAACTAAGCCGAAAAGGAAAAGAAAAGAGCAATATCAAACGAGGAAGGGTAGGAGGCAAAGATAGAGAGCTTTGTTTGTGGGAGTCGTGCGTGCGGCCGGTTGGCAGGCCTTATATCCACCAACCCCCGTGTGCCCTCCCCTCTGACCCCTTCTCCCTACCCACTGTCTGCTCTATATGTCTAGCCGATGAAGGCACGGCGCCCCGTCAACGAGGCAGAGACCGTTCCCGTCACTAGATTCGGGTTGCTCTAGATTCAAGGAAGGATGTGGGTGTCTTTGCCTTCACGCGTTCACACTTGCTCATCACGTCAAACTTTCTCCGTCATTTCAACGTCGGGCTTCAAGCGTCGACGGTTTCCGTGGTGGCCGTAAACCATAGGTATTGGCAGGTGAGACGGATGATATCCCGTCTGTAGCCAGTCGATACGGCGAGACTCCTTCTGGATAAGATGGGAGGTTCACTGGACTCGAGCATCTCAATCATCGCCGTGTCTAGTGTCACCTAACAGTGCCATCTTCTGGTGTCCCAAGTCTCACCGATATCACCTTAAACATACCAAGAACACTAGAGAAGTAAAACGTCTTTCTCGGGTCCTATCTACCAGTGGTTGGCTAGACCTTGTCCCCTGCCTACAGACGAAGACGAGGAACCGCCAGCAGCTGGAACAGGAAACGATCTCCGTACAGGCTGTGACTATTCGGGGAGGAGGTAGTAACACCTCGAGGACGCCCATCTTCGATGGGGTCCGACGGCGGAAGAAGAGAACCCCGCTAAGTCGAGCGTCGGCCGGCCAAGAAGAAACCCCGACTAACGATTCCATCCTGGAAGAACTCGCGAGAGGACAGACAACCTCCCAGCGAGAGGCCACAGAAGTAGGGGAGGTAGACAGGCCTCTCCAACTAGATAGAACTGACAAGTTCACTAGTAGGTTACAGGCTCTACAAGACATAGACCCATACTGCCAAAAGACCCGGCAACGCATCCGGAGAGAACCCGGAGGGGAATCCCGTACTAAGAGGACGGCGGACTCCTAGTATACAGGGGAGGGCAGTAGTCCCGAACCAAGGAGCGCTGCGCTGCGAGCTTGTACAGCGGCACCACGACGACCCAAGAGCGGGCCACCTAGGGGTGAACCGAACCGTCGAGCTCCTGAAAAGGAAATTCCACTAGGAAAACCTAGAAGACGACGTCCGCAGTTATGTCGGAACTTGTACGGCATGCCAAGGCGCGCAAAGGCCAAGGCACAAGCCGTACGGAAAATTAAATCCCTTGCCACTTCCCGAGCACCCATTTCAGGAAATCAGCCTAGATTTCATCACAGGGCTCCCCGGAGCCAGACTCGGACCGGAGAGTGGTTATCATCGGGAAGATTTCTACTACCGCCGTTCATAACGGCGACCACTCAGCCGGTCAGATGTGCTCCCAAAGAAGCCAAGAGCACACAAACTACTTGCCATACCCCTAGAAGGTCTAGACACAAGTTCACCTCGATTGCTCGTATCCGCAATGCCTGAGAGCAGGTAGATGCCTCGAACAGAATGGCAGCAGTCAGCATCGGCCACCTGGATTTGGCTAACGTATGCTATCAATGGCAGCCATGAGGTATGAAAGAGAAGCAATCGGGGAACTGGCTTGCGCCAGCGATGTGATGTGGTTCTAGCCATATCGTGCCGTAATGAATATGTAGAAACGGGTCGCGTGGTGACGAACAAGCAAGGATAGAGTCACGGCTAATCAGCCCACAATCAAGAGACATGAATGCAAAGCTAGGCCCAGTAACTACTCCATAATTCCCAAAGCTGTGATATCACGATCAAAAGAAGAAGTGCAAGCCACAAGCAAGACGATGGTCACAATAGTAGAGTCGCGGCGTGGCTTGCCCCTTCCGACTACTTCCTCAGATGCACGCAAGCCTTTTAGACACTGTATCTGACACCAATAGCAAGTTCTCTCCTACTTAGACGAGCCAGCCGATAGACAGAGGAAGTGTAAAATCTGTGAAGGCTCGTGCCAGAGGTCTACGGAAACGGGCCAACCTCCTAGAGCACTAAACGACGCCCAATCGTGATACAACCGGCCCAGCATGCTCGCCATGCCGGCCGGAGAATGCTTTAGACAGCGAATCTCGTCTTGCCGTCCCTTCTTTGACGCACCCGCCTCAAGCGGTCCTTCTTCACGTCTGCCCAACAGCGAGCACTTCCAACGACACCCCTAAACCACCAGCCCAAAGTGGCTAATCTCGCGGAGACGGTCTAACGGGGACACAACATTTACACATGGCCACTTTTGAGCCGACACGTTGGTCCACGCCTCGGGCTTGCATGAGGGGGACGTTGTAAACCTTTTCTCCTGACTGGGCCAGGCCTAAGAGGGTTTGGGTGCCTGAATCTGACATCACATCGAGTGCCGTTGCCCGCGTCTGTGCTTGGATTTTCTTTTCCAACCGAGAGGCGGCCACGGACGGGGCGTGCCAATCCCAACGTGCAGCCAAGGCGAAAGATGCCACCATCTGCGTGCGAAGGTGGCCACTGCGAAGACAGAAAAGAGAGAGGACGACGCCTTGAGGCCTCATTCGGGCTGCAAGATCTGCGTCATAGACTTGCCCAAGGTGGAATGGGCACCATGACTGCCGCTTTACTCTTTCCTCATTTTTCAGGCTTTTTTCCCCTTGGTTTTTCCTTTCTCTTTTTTTCTTGCCGTCACTGCTGTTCTTTTTTCTCCCTCTACTTTTCGATCTCCCTTCTAATCACCTCACTGGTCTTTGCCATCTTAGAAGGGTCGCTATAGCCGTGGCCAAGGAACGTCGCGGCCTCTCAGTAAAACGCCTCCAAGCTTCCTTCGCCCGGCGGATGGGTATCCTTCCTGGGCCCACTGCTCCGGGGGTGCGTCGCAGAAAGATATACATTGTCTCTTCGAGGTTGGTTGGTATTACAACGTCGGTGTCGCATCCATTTCAACACTCAACCAACTTGCCCCTTTGACCATTAGTGATAGTGTCTTTGTTAATTCTGCCAGCTACCACCTTCCGCCTATAAGACCAAAGTGATACCTTGAGTAAACCCACGCCTTCATATCGTGATGCGACATACATAGGTTCCGTAGACACGGCAGGATGCCATGGGACCTCAACAGAGAGATGACACACAGTTGAACCCTGACTTTCCTTCCCTAATGGGCAGAAGCGGAAGAAGGTTCTAGATATTTTTATTTTTCATTTTTCGGGCCCATCGGGCAACAGGAAGGCTCGGGATCCGAACCCGCCCCAGCATTTCCCGGGTGCTGTGTGCTGTGTGTTGTGTGCTGCGGTCATCTAGTGTTTCGACTATCCCCGACCTACAGGCGTAGAGAGCAAACAGCCCTTCCCGCACCCCTCTTACTACAAAGAAAAAAACAAAGGGTTGAGGGTAGGATGAGCGATGTTTGAGCGGGGACGGCCGCAGCGGCAGGATCAACGTACGCCGCTTTCATGCGTTATCGCTGTATTGCCCAGGGGCCTCTTCCTCATCCTCATCCTATTTTTCTTTTCCAGATCGAAGCATGCACACTAACAGACCCCCTCCGCCATTGCCGTTGAGCAAACGGGAAGGATTCGATTCACGGGGCATGAGATCATGTTTCGACCCGTGCGAGAGAAGGGGCCCATCGGCCCGAGCCCTTGGAAGAATGGGTTGCTTGTTATGGGCTAGTGAATGATTCTTATTCGGTGCGGACTACGAGCTTCACGGCTGTGCCGGGAACAAACTGAGGGTCCTACTCCTCTTGATGCGGTTTGATGTTGTGAAGATGGAATAAGCATGGCAGGGGAGGCCAAGAAGGAGGAGGGTGGTTTCATTCCTACCCCTCTTCATGCCACAAAACTCATGCGAATCAGATGTTTCTACCATTTGCCTCGTCAGTGTGAGAAGGACAAAGCCCAGGTGTGTATGTTTCCAAAAAGGGTGATTTGCTGTATTAGGGTGGTTTTTTCATGTGGCCGGTTGCCCGGCAGGAGGGAATGCTTGAATTCCGCTCGAGTTCCGGTGGCTTGGATCCGTTGTGGGGTCCGCGGGAGTTGAAACCAACGAGGGCCCAGCCCATGGTCGACTGGCAAGCTGGCTCCGGATGCGACACTGGTTCTCACCATGGTTCGGACGCGCGGCGACGACCGCTTCCGTCGCCGACGCGGGATGCCAGGCTGGCTGTAGTGGGAGAGAGAGAGGGAATGAGGGTGGATTTGAAAAAAAGACAAGGCAAGTTTTCCGAGAGGCATCAACCCGAACCGGAAGCTGAAAATGTAGTAAATGGCACAGTAATAATGAATTTGTTGTTGATGTACACTCCTCGGCAGTGGTATTTACATTGTCTCGGGGATTCGTCTCTCACAGTCAACATTGAATCATTTTAGGGAGTCTGATGCACAACATCGTTGGGTTGGGTTAGAGACACTCCCCGACAACCCTATCGTTTATCATCTTCCCTGATCTGACCCCGGATCCGGAGATTCCGTTGAAAACAATCGAAAAAAACAGAGTCCCCCTTTTCATTCCCTTTGGGGAGAAGCTCTTTTGCCCATTCTAGAATTCACTGGATGAAACCTCGCCAATACGACGGGGCAATGAGGTGTCAATCGGATCCCTGGTCCCTGATATGAAGATCATCGTTGAGCCTGCTGGGTACAAGCATCGTTGGGTATGTTGAGGATGGATGGAAAGAATTCTCGAGAAATGCCAAGGTAGATCCCCGTCCTTCTGCGCTTCTTCTTCGTTCCTTTCTTCCTCGCCCTTCCTGCCTGCTAATATCATCCTTCGCTCCTTTGAGTGCCGTGTCGTTGCTCTTTTACCCTTTGCGGAGCCATTGATCTATAAATGGAAAAAGGAGAGAGGAAGGAAAGAGAAAACCCGAGACAAAGAAACAAGTATCTTTCCTCCCAACTCTTAAGATGGCAGGGTGAGTTTCAATGCATGTTGGTTTGTCGTCACT